ATATTTGATTAATCTTAGAGTTTATACTATAATTGTAGATTTATTTTCCAAAGTCGAGGGTGGTACATTATTTGTTCTTACGATATGTCAATATCCAGTTTGTTTTAGATGGCATTACTATTGCTGATTTATTTGATATTGCTGGGCTCACACAGTTGTTGTTATTAATAGGTTTTCTCTGTATAACAATTCCCAGATTATCTTTGTGACATTAAAAATACTGCAGTCCATTTCTGGAGAAATGGGTTCTGGGGCCAGTTACATTGCTCACTTCTGTTAATTTTAGGGGAAGAAGGCAATCTCAGGACAGAGGCAAAGGACTGTAGTTAGCTATGCTCTGAGTACACCACTGAAAAGCAGACTAACTAAAGAGATCCCCAAGCCAGGTGTGGAGGCGCAGGCCTGTAATCCCAGCACTCGGGAGGCTGAGGCAGCAGGATTGCTGTGAGTTCACAGTGAGACCCTGTCTCAAAAAAACAAAAAACACAAAAAAGCTAAAGAGATCCCCATACTAGCAACAAGTCTTTCCAGTGTAAGTGACAGAACAAACAAAAAACATTAGAAAGATGACGGTGAAACAAAACGCCTCCCAAAACTCCCAGCTCCCCCAAAGCTGATCCATGGGCCATTGACAGGGAGGAAAGCAAAAGCCACAGAGCCAAATTATTTGAAAGGATAAGAGAAGAGACTAAAAAACAGGTCAATAAACAAGGTGCTGGGTGGGCTCGCAAAAGATAGAGCTAATCAGATAATGGAGTTAATAAACAACACAATCATGGAGTTTACAGAAGACACTAACAAAAAGCTAACTGAGCTAAACAAAATGGTACAAAACGTGACTGACCAGTTCAGTGAATAATTAGAATAGGTTCATGAAAATGTTCTAAACAGAAATTCAGGAGATCAAAAATTATATTGAAAGTATGGGCAGCAGAAGGGACCGATATCAGGAAAAAGTATCAGAATGAATGCTTTCCAAGACCAGTTACTCACCGATACCATAAAAACAACAAGAGAACATGAAAAACGGATCCAATAGCTGCTAGGTGATATATACTGTCGAGGCAGTTTGTTCTGTCTTGGTTAAAATTATATACAGGTTTCGCAGCCATTCAAGGACAAAATATTGATGAGCCACATTGGTTAGGTTTCATTAACCAATACACAGCTGAATGGCTACATAATGTTTACTACTTGTGCTGATATCTGTTATTTCTCTCGTGACTATTAAACTTGGTTCTTAGCAAATAAACCCTTTAAGGCAAAATTTACCTCATTTGAGTTTTGACCCTGAAACACAGTGTGCCACAGACTAAAGACTTCTGTTTCTCCTTCTATTTTCTTCAACCAGAAATATTTCTCAAGTGTCTACATGTTCTAGAAGAGGAATTTTTCAAAGGTGTCACATCAAATTTCAGGCTTCAAGTATTTAAAAATTACAAACATGCATTCTACAGTGAGATTGTATAAGGATGTTGTCCGTGGTGAGACTCACTGCATTGTTTTATTTTTTTCCGTAGTGAATTTTATGAACTACGCATTCCATTCAATAGTCACATGTTTAAAAAGCATTGTTGTAAGTGTTAATGGAGGAATGTGTTCCTTCATTGTATTTGAGAGTTTCATGTTAATGCTTTTGATATTAAATTAAATGTGCCTTAAAAAAGAAATAATAGTAGAAAACTTTCCAAATATTGGGAAAGAATTAAACATACAGGTAAGTGAGGCATATAGAACCTCAAATGATTGAAAGAGAACTTGTCCACATCATATCATAGTCAAAATACCAGAAATCCAACACAGGGACAAAATCTTAAAAGCCATAAAGAAAAACAAATCTCTTATAAGGAAAACCCATTAGAATTACATCACACTTCTTAACACAAACCTCAAAGGCCAACAGAGCTTGGAGTGAACTGTTTCAAGCCCTAAAAGACAGCATTCCAACCCAGATTTATGTACCCTATAAAACTCTTTTAAAATTGATAGAGAACTAAGGTATTTCCATGACAAAGAGCACCTCAAGAGATTTATGAGCATTAAACCGGCACTACAAAAATTTTTCAAGTATGTCCTAGAAGAGACAATGAAGTAAAAAATGCCAAAAATCCAACAGGATCAATAAACCAGGTAGGGCGAACAGCTAAACAGAAATGGTGGGGGATCAGCAACAAAAAAATAATGCAATGACAAGAATAAGTTGATATATTTCAGCAATGATTCCCAATGTGAATTGTCTCAATTCTCCAATCAAAAGACAGATTTTTTTTTTTTTTTTTTGTACCAGGGATTAAACTTGGGTCCTTGTGCTTGCAAGGCAGGCCACCGAACCGCTGGGCTAAATCCACAGCCCCAAAAGACACAGATTGAAGAGTAGATCAAGAAACAACACAAGATACTGACTAACAGGATGCAAAAAGTCATCAAAAAGATGCTTACATTGTGACAAGTAAGATCCATCCCTGGAATGCAGGGATGGTTCCACATATGCAAAGCAATTAATGTAATCCATCGCATAGACAAAAGCAAGGACAAATATATGATCATCCCAATTGATGTGGAAAAAGCATTCAACAAAATTCAACATCCATTCACAATAAAAATCCTGAAGAAAATAGGTATAGAAGAACCTTATTTCAATCTAACAAAATCCATTGATGGAAAACCAATGGTCAACATCATATTAAATGGTGAGAAGCTGAAAGCTTTCCCTCTAAAATCAGAAACAAGACAAGGATGTCCACTAACACCTCTGCTGTTCAATATAGATCTTAAAACATTAGCCAGAGCAATCAGGCAAGAAAAAACAATGGATATATAAAGGAAAGGAAGAAATTAAATTACCATTATTTGCAGATGACATGCTCCTCTATGTAGAAGACTGAAATATTTCTTTTTCCTAGTGGACCGATATCTAGAATATGAGATGAACTCAGAAAAATTAGACCACCCCGAAATAAAGACCCAATCAAAAGCCGAGCAAGAGAAATGCATAGACACTTAGCAGAAAAAATACAAATGGCCAATAAATGTTTGAAGAAATGCTCCACATCCCTGGGCATCAGAGAAATGCCAATGAAAACAACTCTCGGATTCCATCTTGTTCCAGACAAAATGGCCATCACCCAAGAAATTAGATAACAACAAATGCTGGTAAGACTGCAGTGAAAAAGAAACATTCTTTTTTATGTAGTTGGCAGGACTGTCAAGTAGTATGACCATTATAGAAATCAGCACGGAGTTTCCTCAAAAAGTTAACAATGGAAGTCCCATTCACCTCTGCTATTTCCCTTCTAGGTGTCTTCCCAAAAGGGTTAAAGGCACGATAGTACAGTGATCCACACACGCACATGTTTATTCACAATAGCTAAATCTTGGAAGCAGCTTCTATGTTTATCAAACGAATAAAGAAAACATGGTATACAGTCTCAACTACATAGTGAGACCCTGTCTCAAAAAACCAAAAGAAAAAAGAAAGAAAGAAGAAAGAAAACATGGTATTTACACATATAGAGTACTACGCTGCCACAAAGAAGGATAAACTTGAGTCATTTGTAGGCAAATAGATACACATTGAGACCATAATTCTAAGTGAAACCAATCAGACATGCAGGCTTAAATATTGCGTGGTTCTCTTGTATGAGAAACCCAAAATATAAATAAAGATCAAAATAACAGATAGATAATGGCAGGGCGGGGAGGCCTTTGGCTGGGAGAGGTAACAAATGCCTATAATCTCGGCGCTCCAGCAGGAGGAACTGCAAATTTGAGCCCAGAAAAGCAGTGACTTATTGAGACCCCGTCTCAAACTTTGAAAAGGACTGCAGATGTCATTCATTCAGTGCGAAGGTCCTGGGTTCAACCCTCAGCACTGGGGGAAAAAGAAGGGAAGAGCTTTGGCTTCAGTCCTGCTTTCCTTCTCAGTTCCCCAGTTTGTAGGATGTCGTTTCAGTGGAATCCACTTGAACAGCTCAACATTTTTATAGTGATGATAACATGCCCATTATGATGATAAGGATAGGGTTTGGATAAGATTTCTCCACATCGGCCATGTGACACCTGCTGGCTCTCACGTGGTGAACTTGCTGATCAGAGTGTGTTAGCTATTAAAGTTTTAAACTATTTGACCTACATGACAGGTGTGCAGGAGCTCAGGCTCAGGTGGCCCTCATTTGGCACAAGGGCCACCCAAGATGTAAAGCAGTACTGTAGTTCTCAAGCCTGCCACTGATTAGTATCATGGGGTAGGGCATAAATACCAGTGACACCTGGGCTTCACCTTAAACAATAGAAGTAGAATCTTTTAGCCTGGCGTGGTGGCACACGCCTGTGATCCCAGCACTCGGGAGGCTGAGGCAGAAGGATCGCTGTGAGTTCGAGACCAGCCTGGGCTACATAGTGAGTTCCAGGTCAGTCTCGACTACATAGTGAGACCCTGTCTCAGAAAACAAAACAAACAAACAAAAAATTAGAATCTGTTGGGGGTGTGTGCAGTGATTAGTATTTTTCAAAAGCTGTAGTAAGGCAGCCACAGTAGAGAAATATCAAAAACCTTCCCCAGCAATACCTACACCACTTAAATATCTTCCTTTGAATCATAAGCTGCTGCCAAAGCTTCACCCTAACCCACATAAAGAATGAAAGTAAAGGTACAGCTCTACTGGTCACCAGGGAAACAGACTACTGGTTACTAGGGAAACTGCAGCTGTCCAGGCTCCAGACGCTGGTCACCTGCACTGGTTTACTGGACACTTTGACCTTCACTGCTGACATAGGTGGTGAGGCCCGAGAGTGTCGGACCCATAAGCACGTGGCTCGAACTCAGGACCTTGAGCTTGCCGGGCACAGCACGCCTGAGATACAACCCTGACCCTCCTCCATCGGTTTCGTCTCCCTCCCTTCCCAGGACTTTCCCTGCTGTTTTCTCTCGGGCCCTTTCCCTCACATTTCTGTCTTGTCTTTTCTACTTTTCATAGTGTTTGCGGGAAAGTCAGTGAAGAGACTGCCTCTGTCTGAATCCTGTCGTGCTCCGTGCCTGTGCTACTAGGTGGCTCCTCGTAGATGAGATTTTAGGCTGGCTTTTCTGTCCAGATATGCACAGTTCCGTGATGAAGTAGTCCGGTGGCCACCTGTTTCCAGCTGAGACAGGCTCCAACCAAAGGAGGAATTGTCGCACATCTGCGGTGGTGCAGGGAGGAGCAGAGGTGAGCAACAGTGAGCTCTTCCCAGCAGCCTCTTGGCCCTTTCCACTCTCCTTTACACCCTGACCCCCACTCCCATGTATGTCCCTGATGACCACCCTACTCCTCCTCTTTAATTGTCATCAGCAAAGTAGCCCTTTGGCCTAAAACCATTTGGACGCGGCAAAGCACCACCGATACAGCCTGTAACCACTTGTCTATTTAGGGGGATTGTCATTTCTCCCTTCTTAAACTGCCCGGGGAGGTTTGTGTCCTGAGGACTTGTCCAATTCCAGATGGATTTATTTTGTCCCAGGAAGATTTGCATGTTAGGTAGAGGTTTGAGTTAGAAAACCTTTCCGTCACTCCTATCCCCCTCCCCCAATTTAAAATTTCCCGTGGAAGTAGGAAGAAGATACTTGAATCTGCCCTACCACCTCCATCCCCAGGAATGATGTCAGCAGCCAGAGCTGTGCATCCTGCTGAAGATATTGTCATCCAGGGTTATTATTGCAAAAGATTCGACATATGCCACCTCACAGTACTACCGACATGCAGGCATAGTTCTAGACGTTGGAGTGCCTTTTCCTTGTCCCCTGGATCTAGGGACAATTCAGACTTCAGTTATGCACAGATTACTTCTTCCTGGAGCATTACAGAAAGGACAAGACTCAGGACAAATGCTTCCTGAGAAAAGATCACCACAGCGTTCTTCTCCCTGCCTCCCCTCTCCACAGAGAAACTTTAATTTGTATGAAATCCATTGCAGAGTGGTGGAATGTTGGGACTACATGACCAGTGATCTTTGTTCCCTACCGGTAACTATGGAAAAGATGGGGGCACCAGGTCTCATCATTTCCAGGATGGCAGAGAGAGAGAGCAAAGGTGAAAAAGATGTTGGCAAGAGTGGAGATGCTGTAGCTGATGCCCTGATGGAGGATGGAGGCGGAAACTTCCGGTTCAATATGGCCCGGAAGGCAGCAGGCTCAGCTCATACTGATCGAAGCCTGAGCGATCGATGGCAAAAGTGTAGACTGCAGAGACCCTGTGGAATAGATAGCTTCTCTTTTTAGGACTGCAGCCTCTCTGCAGAGAAAGAAAATTGGGGGCCTACTGGGAAAAGCATGTGAACCCTCTATCCTGAGCCAAGACTCCCCGAGTCCAGAACGCTTCTTGCCAGAGTTGGGGAGGATGGGCTGGGCTAGTAGGCAGAAAGTTTAAGTTGATGTGCTGAGTGAATCAGTAGGACTCTGTTCTCATTCCTCTTGTTTCCTTCTCATGCAAAATCTGCCCCAGTGTGTATGCAAACTTGGCTTTGAGCTCTTGAAGAGGTCTCTTAATGTAGCCATTAGAGCCCTGAGTTCCACCCAGCGTTAGCAACACTTAATGTTGTTTTAAAACTTGTAGTCATCCCTGCACTCTTGGGAGGCTGAGGCAGGAGAATCACTGTGAGTTCGAGACCAGCCTGGGCTACATAGTGAGTTCCAGGTCAGTCTCAACTACATAGTGAGACCCTGTCTCAAAAAACCAAACCAAACCAAACCAAACAAAAACAAAAACAAACAAAAAAACTTGTAGTCTAAGACCCTTAGAAATCTGGTCTCTAATGTATTTCTCTTCCTAATTCCTAGGAACTTCTGTCTACTGAAGGCAAGAATGGATTTATTCAAAGTAAAAGCAAGAGACCACACGAACTAGGTAAATACAGGAAACATATTGTAGGTATTCTGTCTTTTTGTTTGGTACCAGGAATCAAACTCAGGTCCTTATACTTTCAAGGCAGGTGGCGGCACCACTGAGCTAAATCCAAGGCCCTGTTGTAGGTATTCTGAATGCCACTTTTCTTGCCTTAGTGCTTACGTTGGTTCAGTGAATTTACTTTGCTCCTCTCAGATTCAGTGACTCAGGTATCTTGTGGGTTATTTCTTTTTTTTTTCTTTTTCTTTTTATTGAGGTTATTGGTACAATCTAGGTATACAATACAATTACATTCATCATTGGGATTCTGTACCTTTACATAATAGGTCTTGATTCTCATTTTTCCCCTTGTCCCTGCCCTCCCTTCACCCCCTCCTCCCCTCCCCATTTACAAACACTTTATTTCCATTTTTTCAATTTCTCATATTTTTTTCCTCTCCCTTATTACCTTTCCCCCACCCTTCCCACTTTCCCTACACCTTTAGCCCTTTACTTCCTATTTCACATTATTAATTATCTCATTAGGATCCTGTGTACTATTGTAGTTTTTCACACCAAAGAAACTATTCGGTATTTCAGTTAAAGAAATCTCTGTATGAACATTAAAAATAGGGAATCCTAAAATAAAACTAAAAAGGAAAGTAAAAGAGAAAAGGCAATGATGTAACATCAAAATAATCCTTAATTATGGAGATGAAAATGGTCCCTGAACATATTTAAATTGCTTCTCGCTCTTATAGTCTTATCTTATTCATTTTTTCATTATTTAGAGAATACTTTATTAGTTTCTGTAATCAAACCCACGTAGATATGACCTTACATATTTAGTACGATGTGTTACCCCTGTACACATGGAAAAAATAAAATAAAAATAAATTAACATTTCTAGACCAATATGGTTGTCCATTTCTGTACAATGCCAAGCCAACACAGTAAATTGGGATGACTTTTTCCAAAGTTGGCAGCACCGTTAAAGTTTCCCAAAATTCAATTTATATATATATATATGTGTGTGTGTGTGTGTGTGTATATATATGTGTGTGTGTGTATATATATATATATATATAGAGAGAGAGAGAGAGAGAGACTAATAATAGTATGTTATGCATCGATAGCAGCAACAGCTTTTCCAGGTTCTGCAGTCATCTGAACACAATTATAGACATTCAGCACATTCCATTAAAAAAACAAAAACAAAGAAAAGAATAATATCCAGACAACAGCAAAGTTCTGTTGCTGTTGTGGTACCTGGCACCATTTTTTCTATTAGCCTCTTAATCATCATCTGGAAAGAGAACATTCTAGAGTAATATCATTAAATGTAGCTCAGATAAAGCATGGTCCCTACTATGTATCATAAAGCAGGTACTAGATATTTTACATTCATAGAGGTATGATACAGTACTGTCCTACATCAATAATACTAGATTCAGTTTTGGTTTGAAATTTACTTTGTCTGCAAATAAGATTGCTACCCCTGTTTTTTTCTGGGCTCCTGTCACATGGAGAATTGTTTTCTATCTTTTCACTTTCTCTTGTGGGTTATTTCCAGCATCCGGATCATTAGGCAACAGCACTGAGAATATATCTTATGACCAATCACAAAGCGAGGCCGTTCCAGGGAAAGTCCTGGAAAGGGAGGGAGACAAAACTGATGGAGGAGGGTCAGGGTTGTATCTCAGGCGTGCTGTGCCCGGCCATCATCTTTATGTAATCTTTCTCTCTTTTTTTTTTTCTCCTTCTTCAGATCACCATTTCTTTCCATCATATTTAAAATATGCAGTCTAATTAGGCACAAATATTCCCTCAAGGAAACAAAGTATCTACTCCTTTTGCCCCGCATAGCTTCCTCACCTTCCCTGGGTGTTTTAGTTAATACTTGCGGGTACGTTGAAACTAGGAGGTTGCTCTTCCCACAGACGCCATATCAAGGGGGAGAGACACAGAAGGAGGGGGACGTGCTGGATGGGGCACCAGAAGCCAGTGAGAAGTTGCAATAGGAGAAGTGGTGTTAGGAAACGGTGTGGCAGAGCCCCGGGCAGGCAGGAATAGATACAAGCTGTGTGTACTCACCGGCGAAATGTCTTTCTATGGCCAGAGGTAATCAGGAGCTGGACACCGTGGAAGGAATAGCTAACAGGTTAATTCTGCATGCCTCCGTGTGCTCAGCAGGACATCTCAGATGTGCAGAACTGCCTTGGGTCTCCCCTGTTCTTGCTCCATTGTGCCTTGAAGCAGAACTCTGACAGAGGCAGAGAACCTCTTCCCCGCAGCTTACCCCCTTCCATTTCCTTTTCCAGACTTTTTTTTTGGGATGGGGGTTGGAGACAGGGTCTCACTATGTAGTTGAGTCTGATCTGGAACTCACTATGTAGCCTAGGCTGATCTCGAACTCACAGTGATCCTCCTGCCTCAGCCTCCCGAGTGCTGGGATTACAGGCAGACTCTTTGTTTGAAAGACTCATCAGGAGTCCTGAACCCTGGAGTTTAAAGGAGCTCAGACCACATCTTGGTTCCTGGTTTTGAATACTGATCATGTCGGATGGCCTCTCCCCGTGAGTGGCTGTGGCCAGAGGTAGGGTGACCCTGCTTTGCCTCTGCCCAGCTATGCACCCCCAGGCTCTGGGCGGGCAGATAGACAGCTGAGCCAAGACTAGGAGAAAAGCATCTGATTAATAACAAAATAACTTGCCTTAATGAGACCATGGGCAGGAGAAATAATTATGTTTTTCCAAGGCCAGGAAACCTGTAGATTTGAAAATGTGGCAATATTCAGTGATTTAGTTATGAGTTCTACAGTACCTTATACTGCGGACTTTACCAAATACCAAATTATAAAGCTGTGTTCATACCTTCATCATCTATTGTACAGATTTTCCTAACAGCCTCTAACTAGATTTCTTCTTTCCACTTTGAATCATTCACCCTGAACAAATGTTCTCCATGCAGTTTTGTTTTGTTTTGTTTTGTTTTTGGTACCGGGGATTGAACTCGGGTCCTTGTGCTTACAAGGCGGGCCACCAAACCGCTGAGCTAAATCCCCGGCCCCTCCATGCAGTTTTATGCTGTGTGTTGAGGGCATGAAAATAAAATTAGCCAAGCTGTTTTTCACATCTTTCTATTGTCAATAATGTCATGTGTTAACTAGCGATCTCAGCTAACATTAATATTATGGGCATGTATCAGTAACACAAAGTCTTAGGACCCATCTCCATCAAACAGACAGACCGAATAGCAAGTTGGAGAAGCTTTATATTAAATGTCTCAGTTATACTTCCAGAAAGACTTGGAATTTTTTTTCTTGCAGAAAGGGGGACAGGTCAGGCCTAGAACATAAAGGAGACTTTGTTCAGCGTGGACGATCATGACAGCCCTAAACAGAAAGTGCTGAGAGAGGCACGAACGCCCCGGAGGACTAAAGCGGGGAAGCACGGGAGACCGGACTGCAGTACCTTCTGTTTGAGGCTTGTCCTATCTGCAGTCTCTTAACCTGACCGTATCTGTCGGTGATGTCTCCCCCTCTTGGGAAGAACTTGGCCAGCCTGAGGCAGAGGCTGGATGGAAAGGCAGAAGAAAGAAAAAGAGAAAGCAGAAGGGTGGCTAGAAGTACTGGGGTGGGAAAAACAAAAAGGGAGAGAGACAAGGGAAAGAGGGGCATTGCTGGAAAGCCGGCTCAAGGGTTAGGGCTCCTTTTCATGACTGGAAAGGCTGTAGTTAGCTAGGAGGCGAGTCAGCATTTGACAGCCTGAAATGAAATACAGTACTGCCTTGTGGGAAGAGGAAGCTGTTACAAGGGCTGGGGCAACGGGCGCTTTCCCAAGCTTGGAAACCAGGTAACTATATCCACAGTGCATACTTTTAAAGTGAGTCAGACACAGGTGTGCTTGGGGGCAGTAGGTGGAAGCAAATGAGATCCTAAGACTAAGACATCAGCAAATGAAACCTTTGATTTTTGGGCTAGACTATAAGGTGGAAATTTAGGAGACAGAACCCCTGGAAGAATGGTCTGTTGTTCAGGGCAGTTTTCTGCTTCAAATGAAGCAGCTAGAGGCTGAGTGAGACTGAATCATCAGCACAAATTCTGTCCTTCACATTGGGCCCCTCATGTCTCATAGGACCAGAATATTGCCATGTGGGTTTCCACAGGGACACTCTCTTGTGGTGCTGGACTTCTGGCTAGCAGAGTCAAGGACGTCCCAGAGAGAAATGGTGGAGACCCACAGGTAGGGTTGTTGCCAGAGGTCATGGCGTCTGGTGGTTCCAGGCTCTTTTTGACCCACCCAAAGAATTGGTTGGGATAACTGATGAACAGTAACTTTTATTGAAAGGAAGAAAAGAGAAAAAGTGAAGAAAACAGAAGAGCAACGGAGGCAAGAAAAGTGAAGATATGTCCTGTATGCAGAACAGGCCACACCAGAAACAGGTAGACAGCAGAACGGGAAGGTCACAGTGGTGGCGAAGTCAATGGCCGCCATCTTTTATAGTCTCTCAGATCCATTCTGTGGAAAGTTGTTCTGCCCATGCATTCCTTCCATGATCGACAGGTCACATCCTGTTGTTCAGCTTCCATTTGGGATCTTTGTAATTGACAGGTTATGTTCCCTTTTCCAGCCAGCCCACCCTGCCTTAATCTCCTTCCTCAGCCTGGGCAGCCAGGCCTTGGGTGCAGGAGAGCAGCATTAACTTCAAGCCCTGTTGAAAGGTGACTGACGACATTTGACGTGTGACTTGTTTTTACTGAGATTGGATGAAAACTGGGGTGGACCTACATGTAAAGGTTGGACTCAGAAGCAGATCAGGCGGTCGGGAGAGGGAGACAGAGGAAGCAGGCAAAGGCACACACCTGATCTGACTTCAACCCTAGGATCTGGAAATCTCAGGTGCTTTAGCTGCTGTGGCGGTGACAGTGAATACATCAAGCACTTCGTTGCATCACAGGCGTTGTGTAAGTGACTCACCTGCATTGCTTTACTCAGTCCCCTGAACAATCATCCAGTACA